CAGTTGCTGGAGACAGCTCTGTCCCTTGTGATCTTGTACTGGACAGGAAGTTCGGGGAAGCCGAGCTCAGAGAGTCGGAGCTGTTCAGATGACTGATGAAGTGTTTGGGTCTAACTTGCAGGGAAATGTGTATTTGTTTGATCCGGATTCATAACTGAAAAAAAGAGAGAGTTTTAATCATACTTCAAGGGTTGGTCCACCCAGAAGTGACATCTCCGGCACCGGAGGAGGCGTGGCCACAGGATTTTGGTCCAGGGGAAGATATTGGAGGGCGGAGATTAGGAAATGAGTATTTCACTCTGAGCACCCGCGTTTCCCCTGAATATCAGATGTCCGTCAAGTTTGACCTCTGCCAGCCACCGTCCCTGTCGGAGTTTTGTGCTGGTCACCTGGGAGGAATATGGAGGCTGCCATTGCTGCGTCTCATTCCAGAAATGCTAATTATCTGGCTACAACAGCCTGGCTCTGGCTTCAATGCATTAACCCAATACAAGGATACAGATTAGAATTTTGTTTTCCAACATTCCCTATTGGCTCCCTTGTCCCGAGCTGGTGACCCAGGAAGTGTAGAAGGCAGAGAGCCAAGCAGTGCGCATTTTCAGAAAATATCCAGCACTGGCCGCCCCGGAGCGGCTGACTCATCATACAGGTTCCTGGGCAGTGACTCACTGAGTACATAAGTCAGCTGGTCAGTGTAGCAGCCAGATAACTGGCATCTTCAGATACCAGCACCTTTCTTTATCTTATTAAATATTGCATTATGGCCACTAGATGGAGCTGAGCACAGGAAAGAGGGATGTACCCGAAAGGCCGCACAGCCCACCATAGACGCTGTACAGCCACCTGAGAGGCCGCACAGCCCACCATAGACCCTGTACAGCCTCCTGAGAGGCCGCACAGCCCACCATAGACCATGTACAGCCACCTGAGAGGCCGCACAGCCCACCATAGACCATGTACAGCCACCTGAGAGGCCGCACAGCCCACCATAGACCCTGTACAGCCACCTGAGAGTCCACCATAGACCGCAATCTGCCCACTGTGGGCAACCATAATGCTGATGTGGCCCATGATGAAATTGAGCTCGACACCCCTGCCCTATGGCTACTACATGGAGCAGAGGAGCACGGGAAAGATAACCTGGGCTCAGAGGAAGTGGGTTGCTGGTATTATTTTATACTCAGCTGGACTTCTGCTTTAGTTTATGGGGCCAGGCAGCGACAGGGGGGAGGCAGAGGCCAGCGACAGGGGGAGGCCTGAAGGGTGCAATGACTCCCTAACACACCCCATTTCCTCCATCACACCCCCCGGTACCAATGACAACACACATGTAGGAAGACTGAGGAACTTTATTCACTTATAATCAAAAAAAAAAAAAGAGGCAACCATAAAATCTTATACAACGTGACGCCCGGAGACGCCGGTTTAAATAAAGCTGTTGGCGGCTTTCCCCGCGTGTTCCTATTCACAAATATACAATAAGAACGCTCACTGGCTCCGCCAATGGGCAAGCTTACCTGAGGTTCCAGTGCAGGGCCGCCCAATACCAAGCATGACAAAACATGGCCGCCATAATCCTCGTGGGCAACCAGAGCTCAGCCACAGCTGTAGTACTGGAGGCTGCACAGTCTTAGGGTTCAAAGAGTACCTGTCACCATCACATCAGGGTCCTATGCCCATAGAGCAAGCTAGCTGCTGATGTACTGAGAGGTCCTAAGGCAGCTTGCGGGTGGGCAGGGGCTC